CACTTTTGTACGAAATGTATCATGTTGTCATATTAACAACATAATTAGTACAAATTAGTCACAGCTAACATTTTTTTATCTCATAATAAGCAAAGATGGGAAAATTAAAATGCAAATCTTTTACCTTTTTTAGCACCACAGTCCAAAAGGGCCCCTTTACCCCCCTGGATAACCCCTCTCCTTTATCCCCAAAACATGCACAATCATTTATTGCAGTTGTGTAATATGGTTCTTGACTAGGTTGGAGCAATGGTGAGTATATAACTTTTTCATTCCCATCTAGAGCCTAGTAAATATTATCAGACATTTTGGAAATCTTTAACTTATTTGATAATGAGTGTTTCTATGTCATTTTGAAAACTGACATTTGTCTTTGAACACCTTCTTTCAACAGAGTCAAACAGAGAAATTAGCAAAGGTTTACCAACCAAAACGTTCAGTCTTATCTTCTAAAAGTACTATTTCTGTTGCTCATCTTTTGGCTGCAAGACAAGACTTGTCAAAGATTTTAAGCACAAGCAGTGGCTCTATAAGAGAAAAGACTGCCTGTGCCATCAATAAGGTGATTAGAGTACCTTTAACTTTCTTTCAAACACATTTATATCTGTTTACAAAATAAAATGGTTTAAAATGTCTTTCTTATCCCATAGGTGTTGATGGGCAGGGTGCCTGACAGAGGCGGTAGACCCAATGAGATTGAGCCTCCACCCCCAGAGATGCCACCATGGCAGAAGAGGCAAGATGGTCCCCAGCAGCAAGCAGGAGGCCGAGGAGGAGGGAGAGGTGGTTATGAACATTCCTCATACGGAGGACGAGGAGGTCATGAACAAGGAGGAGGGAGAGGTGGACGTGGTGGCTATGACCACGGTGGCCGAGGGGGAGGAAGAGGAAATAAGCATCAAGGAGGCTGGACAGATGGAGGGAGTGGAGGAGGAGGAGGTGGCTACCAAGATGGTTATCGAGATTCGGGCTTCCAGCCAGGTGGCTATCATGGTGGCCACAGTGGTGGTTATCAAGGCGGTGGTTATAGTGGCTTCCAAACATCCACTTACACAGGAAGTGGATACCAGGGTGGTGGATACCAGCAGGACAATAGATACCAAGAGGGCGGGCACCATGGTGATCGAGGCAGTGGTCGCGGAGGGAGAGGTGGAAGGGGAGGCAGAGGTGGAAGGGGAGGCCAGGGAGGAGGTTGGGGAGGACGGGGGAGCCAGAATTATCACCAAGGGGGACAGTTTGAACAGCACTTCCAGCATGGAGGTTATCAGTATAATCACTCTGGGTTTGGACAGGGAAGACATTATACTAGTTGAGGCTACAGAACCTTACTTTTTGCTAGAGCTCAAGTAATAGAAACTTAGTTTAAGAATCCTCAATCCAGTGTGGATTTTGAATGTGAGACCACAGGTGGCGGGCAGATTCTTGCCTGGCCCAAGCATTTGTAGGTCTTCATTCAATTCTGTTCGTTTTTTTAATGGACTTACATAATGCTGTTTATTTGAGAAACACATACAACATCTCTCCTTTGTATGAAGAATTTTTTTAAAGGTAATTAAAATTGCCTTTAATTGACCAGTAGACTAATTCCACAGTCGGAACACACATACTTTTTTTGAAGAAATTACTTGAATAAGTAGTTTTCATGTTTTCAATATACAGTTTTGAAAATGAGGATTCTCCTAGATTTTTTTAGATTTACAACTAGGAAAGCTTCCTCATATTAACAACTCATTTATATGTGTTTTCTTTATACTATTCTAATGTCTATTTTCCGAGCACAGTTTCTGTCCTGATTGGCTTTTTATTTGGAGAGGTTGTGCCACATTTGCTTCACGATAGAACTTTTAGGTCAGTTCCTATTAAATGAGCTCTTCTGCAGATAGCACATTCGGTAGCCTTATCCTCTTGATGGAATGTTATACCACAAGCTGAACTCTGAAAACCTTGAACACGGCCAAAATCCATCAAGATTATAAAAGCAACCTAAGTTGTGAATCTATAGTACATGTAGGTGTTTAGTTAAGTATAGTGATTCAAACTGACCTGCATTCATTCAAAACAAGTTCCTCCTTCAACCCTATTTTTACTTGAAATCTGCTAGAAGAAACAGCAAACTGAAATTTGTTTTATGCACGAGTTAATACCACTGGCTCAGCAAATACAAGTTAGTTTGCTTTGGGCAGGAGACTCTTTGTAACAGAAGAAATGCACTACAGAGAAAGAGGACAGATTTTTGCTTAGTGCAGGAGGCCCTTTATTATTGCTGCAGAAAACAAAAGCCTGGCTGAGTTGATGTTTTACATTCTTCTTTACTGAATTCTACATGATGCTTCTTGCTGGGTTTTTGTATACTTAAACATTGTCAAGCTGTGAAAGAAAATGGCTGGAGGTGTGCTTTGTGTGAAAGGTGAGCAATAAAGTATCTGTAAGTTCTCCCTGGTTTCGAGTTTTATTTTAGCGACTTTTTAAATGGAATTGTTCTGTATAATTGCTTCAAGCTTATGAGCTAAGGCCTGTGTCATGCCCCCACCCCCTGCCCCAATGATACTTGAGTGTTCCCTTAAAATGTAATTTGTAGTGAAAGATAACCTTTCCCTTAGAACCTTAAATAAATAAATAGCTGTTTCCAAATTTACCCTTTACTGTTATAGCTAAAACACGTCATTACTCATGTGGCCACTGGGTGTAGCTGTTGCTACACAATTTATTAGGCAAAGGTAAATTATGGCCCCAGTCTTTTAGGGATTTTGTTTTCTGTCCTTTCTCCATTCTTCCTAAGAACATGGGACATTTTTCTTAAAAGAAATAGATCAAAAACATAAATTTATATTTGTAAAAAATAGTATTTCCTTTTTCTACTAAATTGGGGTTTTTAGAATAAGGAATTGAGCCGTCTTACCATTAAAAATATTCTATTTACTGTTGAGTTAAGCACATTTGGATAGCTAAAACCATTTGAATGCCTCCCTTGATCATTTTGTTCATTTGACCTGTTAGTTAGATTTTTCAGCTAGCACTTACCTTTCTAAAATGTTCAAACTTGAAGATAATTTTTAAAACTTATCAAACCATTAAAGATTTTAAGTTCTGTCTTGAAAGTTTTGAGTTTTGGTCTCTGTGCTGTTATAATGTTTACTACGTATAGGAGTTTCTTATTAAACATAAAACTGCCCAGGTTTATCTTAAAATACTTTCATGTTAGCATTTGCTTTCATCTGTTTTGTAGCCTCAGACCCTGCAATATACCTAATGACCATGTTGCATTATTTTGACATATAATAAGGATTTCTGTGGTTAACAGATTGCTCTTCAAATATAAGCATGTAAGAAAGTAATAGATTTCTGCATGATGACTCTAAAATTTATATCTTCATTTTCTGCTTCAAACTAGAATTTTCACATTATGAAGCCATAAAAGAATTGTCTTTTAGTTTCTCTGTGACATAGATTATCTTCTTTAGAAATAGAATGTTTCAAACCACCAGTTAGTTTTGTTAAAGTAATAAATGTATTAGATTTTTAAAATAGAATATGTCTGTTGATCTTACATTCTTAACCTTAACTTGTAGTAAATAATAATGTACAGAGGTAGGGTATGTGGGAATTTCTTAGAGAAACAACATTATTAGGAGGAAGTTTTTGACCTGACATCTTAAGATACTGTCTCTCACACAGACAGACTGAAACAAACAGGACCCTTTGTTAGTGCTTTGTTTCCTCCCTGTGGCGGGAACTAGAACAGGATGTCAACACTATGAAGATTGCCAATGTTATGCCACTATCATTTTAATTTCTTGCTCTAGATCCAAAGACCAAACGATGTCTAACTGTGTGGGCACAGAATAAAGTCAATTCCTGCTGAGGGAAAGCATCTGAAATCATTAACTATTTCCCCACTGCCCAGTTCACTTATACACATTCTTATACTGAGATTCTTTTATTACTTTTTTTAGGTTGTGCTCTTCTTTCTGGATACTTTACGTATGTATCCTTTTGAAACGTATTTGTGGTCGACATAGCTTTTACATTATTTTTTTAAATATGTTTGTATTGATTTTATTTATTTTTTTTATCCTCATCCAAGAACATTTTTCCATTTTTTGTTCAGATAGAATGGGAGGGAGGGAGAGGAAGAGAGAGAGAGAGAGAAACATCGACGTGAAAGGAACACATCGAGTGGCTGCCACCCGCACGACCAACCAGGGCCGGGGACAAACTGCAACCGAGGTATATGCCCTTAGCGGGAACCGAACCCGGGTCTCTCTGGACCGCAGGCTGATGCTCTAACCACTGAGCCAAACCGGCCAGGGCTGTTTTTATTGATTTTAGAGAGGAAGGAAGGGAGAGAGTGAGAGAGAAACATGTCTCCTGTACACCCCCCGACTGGGAGGTCAGACCCACAGCCTGGGTGTGTGCCCTGGCCGGGAATCAAACCAGCACCCTTTCGGTGCGTGGGACAGTGCTCAACCAGCTGAGCTGAGAATGTGTTTTAAACGTGTGTACATAATCACATTTTCCTTAAATAATTTGTACTTTATTAATTTGTTTTTCTAACAGAAAAAGCCTTTTGTTTAGGTTTACCTAAATAGAAAAATGACAGTCATCACAGAAGAACGTTCTTTTTTTTTTTTTTTTTTATCCTCACCAGAGGACATTTTTTTTTTTCCATTTTTTGTTCAGGTAGAGTGGGAGGGAGAGAGAGGAACAGAGAGAGAGAGAGAGAGAAACATCGATGTGAAGGGACACATCGAGTGGCTGCCACCCACACAACCGACCAGGGCCGGGGACAAACTGCAACCGAGGTACATGCCCTTAGCGGGAACCGAACCCGGGTCTCTCAGGACCGCAGGCCGACGCTCTAACCGCTGAGCCAAACCGGCCAGGGCCAGAAGAACGTTCTGTAAAGCTTTTCCCCCGTGCTTTCCTTGTTTCTCTTGTGATTCTGATCACTAGAAATGTTTGTTTTGTTGTGCAGCTGTGCCTTCCTACATGTCCAGTCACTGGCTGAAGCAGGTGTGCATGGCAGTGTTTGAACTCATTTATTCGCCCCGGGTACTTTCAGTCTCCTGCAAAATTATGTTGGTAAGACACATTGCGTAAACCTAACTGTTGGCATGAGAACATCCCCACTAAATTATTCCCTGCCCACTATATATAAATGAAAAAGCCTGGAATTGGAGGGGAAATCGTGAGAAAAAGAGTTTTACAATGACCAGTATTTGGTTAAATTGTATTATACTTTCTTCAAGAAAAAGGCCTGCAGTTCAGTTCCATAAACACTTGGGTGCCTGCTACAGTCCAGGCGCTGTGCTGGGCATTTGAGGCACAAAGACAAATTAGAAAGTCCCTGCCTTGGAAAATGTCCAGTGGCAGAGCCAGAAACATAATTGTAGCATAATATAAAAAAATGTAAGCTGCCAGGGTATTAGGACGGCAGCGTTCAGTACTGCTCACCTGCGGTGGAAATTGGCAGGAAAGCTGGCAAGGGCACGGGCTGGCTAGGTAATAGAGGGCTCTGCATACCCTTCTAAATGTAGTCTTAGACCAGGGTCATGTACTTTGGTATGCCAAGGCATGGACGCATTTGGATTCTGTATAAATCATTGACTAATGAGTACAAAATAGATTTAAGGCAGGGGGCAAAGATTGGAATGAAAAGCATAGGGTTTAACCTAATGTATAATAATAGGGATGGAGAGGGGACAAATTTGGAAAATATTTAAGAGGTAAAACTACGGACTTACTGGTTGGCATAAGAATAAGACATTTAGTATGACTCCTGGTTTCTTTGTTTTGTAATTGAGTGGGTGACCATACCATTAATTGTAACCAAAATTAGGAAAAGGGGGAAAGGGTTGGGGGGATGAATGATTTCAGTCTTATCAAAAGGTATTTTAATCTATACCTCTAGCAATCACTGCATCAATGCTCTTTCTTATGAGGTACTTATGAGATGGTTGAGATCGGCTTTTCTGGGGAAAGGTATGAAAAGTACTGTCAAGTCCTCTGAGCAGATACATTTACTCCCAGTTATGCATAGCACCCAGCACAATCGAGACCTTAGCTAACACCATCTCTAATGTCTCCTCAGGCCTTGGGCCCTTTCTCAATAGATAACAGTTCAGGCGGGGTAGAAGGCCAATCACAAGTCAGCTACGCTAATGAACTACAGAGAAATCAGTTTCATTCTAACAACCTCCATTATCAGAAACTAATGAAAAAAAAAATCAAATGAAACAAAGTCAATCCCAACCTAAAAGGATGAGGGAGGGCTATTTTATAATCTTATTTATAATGATGATGAAGTAGAATGGTTTCAAGTCGTGGAACTGTTCTCTATGGTCTGTAAAGTGAGGGTACTAATTCCCACCTTGATAGAGTAGCTGTACAGATCAAGTGTGATAATCTGTAAAATGCCTACCACAACGTATAGTACATAATATGCTCTCACTTTCGTTGTTATCCATACAGGTAACTACTACTCAGCAACACCTTAAACAGGACCTTAGGAGAGTATGTTCCCTTCCTAATTCAAGTTTGGAACAAATGTTCCAAAGTGCATAGCACTCCGTACAACTTCAAAACAGCCTAAAATACCCTGATTGCCCACAGTTTGTCAAGGAGGCAAAGGGAATGAGTTGAAGATTAGGAGACTCACTGATCATTGGCTCATGTAACAGAATTCTTTCTATACCTCATTTGAATATTCCCTCTAGTTGGGCACCCCCCCCCCAAAAAAAAAACAACACAGTAAATAAGGTAGGATGATGCCTGGGTTTAGCATCGTGTTTTTATTCAAGTAGAATAAGCAATGATACACAAAGTCATTGCAAGAGATATGGTGCTTGGATGGATGGCTTTAAACCAGGGCATCAATTCCCAGATTCTTCCATAAGTACTCTTTCCCCAGATTAGCTGAGAAAATTTTACACAACAAAACACCACAAATTAATCTCACATCATCCTCTTGTGAGATGCCCCAGGGTGTAAAATCCTGAATGTGTCAAACAGACAAGTCCAAATACTGGTTCAAGGCAGCCTCCTTTAACATCTATTCAAAGCATTCTCGCCCTTTAAATCTCCTTATGTAAAAAATTGGCCTAAGGAGAGTCTGAGTTCAGAGCAACCAAAACCGTATATCTTAGTTGTACAACTCCTTTAAATACAACTCTTTTACAACAACTAAATCTATGAAAATACATTGGATAAAACAGATCAAATGTTAAATGACTTCTTTCAGATCCAGGGGTCTTTATGCAGTAAAGTGGTTAAAACTTATCAGATCATGTTATGAGATATTCCAGTCACAGTTGCTGCCCACTTCATTTTACAGCAAATAATAAACCTTTCTACATTTATGATAACATATTTTGTACATAAATTTAAAAGTGTAGTTGAGCAGAAGGGCTTAAAGAACACTAATTGGTAAATGTCTCAGGTGTGTCTGAGGGACATACATTATTTATCCACTGTCCTAGACCACAGATCTCTGCATATTGTACACCAGACAATGCCCTTTCGAAGATATAACCTCTCCTACCTTGTGAGTGTAAAGTCATCTTGGCTATAGGAAAAAATAAGAGCTATAGGGAAATTACTGGAAAAAGGACTGACTATATTAGGAGTTTTAAAATACTGGTTCTCACCCTAGCCGGTGTGGCTCAGTTGGTTGGGTGTCATCCCTCGCACTGGGAGGTTGCTGGTTCAATTCCCAGTCAAGGGCACATGCCTGGGTTGTGGGCTTGGGACATGCAGGAGGCAGCCAATCAGTAATGCACTCTCACATCGATGTTTCTCTCCCTCTCCCTTTCCCCTCCTCTCTCTCTCTAAATCAATAAAAACATAATTTTTTTAAAAAGAGAAAAACATAATTACTAAGAAAAGTCATCCAAAACATGGAAATAAGGCAAAAGATGACTGCATGTCCTTTGGCTGTGATTCTAGAGCAGCATCTCAAAGCTTGCTCAAGGCTCGGGATTTTCTAGAGCAGTGGTTTTCAGGGGCAGACCCACAGCAGCAGAAGCACCAGCACCATCTGACAACTTGTTAGAAATGCAAGTTCTCGTACGGAGGGCCCTGGAGAGTATTATGCTGAGCGAAATAAGCCAGTCAGAGAAAGACAAGTACCCCATGCTCTCACTTATGTGTGGAATCTGATGAACAAAATAAACTGACGAACAAAATAGATCCAGAGACATGGAAGCAGGGAACAGACCGATGAATCTCGGAGGGGAGAGGGAGGGGAATGGGATGAGATAAACTAAAGAACTTATATATACATAACCAATGGACACAGACAGTGGTGTGGTGAAGGTATTGGGGGGGGGCGGAGTGGGGTGGAGGAGGTCAATGGGAGAACAAAGAGAGACCTCTGTAATACTTTCAACAATAAAAATAAATTTTTTAAAAAGCAAGAGAAAAAAGAAATGCACGTTCTCAGCAGCTCCCGCCCCGCCACCCCACCCCACCCCCAGCCTACAAAATCACAAACTGTGGATAGGGCCCATCAATCTGTTTGTGAAAGACCTCCAGATGGTTCTGATGCATGGGCAGCGGTTCTTATTCAGGGGTAATTTTTCTCCACAGAGGACATTTGAAAATGTCTCAAGGCATTTTTGGTTGTCACAACGTAAGCAAGAAGAGAAAATGCTAGCTGACATCTTCCTCTGGTGGGCAGAGGCCAAGGATGCTGTTAAATCCCTGTAATGCATAGGACAGCTCCCACCCCTCCCCAACAGATCACTATCTGGACCTAAATGTCAATAGTGCAGAGATCACTTAATATACAATTTATTATGGATTAGGGCTCGATTGCTAACTTGAAGAAAACTTGATAGATGCTAGTGTTTTTATCTGGTAGATAGATAAAGTATTTCTGTGTAGTAGAGTAGATAACCCAAAGGTTATGGTTTGATCCCCCAATGGGATATCGTGTTAGGTATCTACTATGTAACAAAATATCCTAGAAATAGCTTAACACAACAATAAACATTTATTATTACCATGGTTTCTGTGGATTGAATGAATTCGTTTCTTGGAGAAACAGTTTTCATATGCTCTGTAACAGTGTTGCTTGGTTGGTTTGGTTTGGTTTTTTGTGTTTCGTTTGTTTTTGTTTTTTTTGTCTTTAGGTGAGAGGTTTTCTGACATTTGTTTAACTGTCTCTTTTTTCTTTAGTATGTCCTGGGTTTTTGTTTTATCTTAACTCTATTTTAATTTTGAGGTTTCATCCAAAATTTGTGGTAAGTTCATTTAGGGAAGGAGCCGAATAGTGTCTTAAAACAAGGGACATTAGTCTTATGTGCTAAGTTCTACAGGGAAGTTGAGTTAGCCTTTACATTTTGGCGGGATTGACAACGGTAGGAATTTCTTTTTCCCACCAAAAGGACTGGCACTCTACTATCCTAGCGACGAATCACTTCTTACAAATACTCCCTGTGTGTTCTGACTCTTCTGCTTCTCAGAACTGCACCAGGGTCAGGAAGAAGGAGCCTGCCGGCAGCGGGAATATTCATTTGGCTCAGTCAGCAGTTAGAGCGTCGGCCTGCGGTCCAGAGAGAGCCGGGTTCGGTTCCCGCTAAGGGCATGTACCTCGGTTGCAGTTTGTCCCCGGCCCTGGTTGGGTCATGCAGGTGGCAACCAGTTGATGTGTTCCTTTCACGTCGATGTTTCTCTCTCTCTTTTCTCTCTCTCCCTCCCGTTGTATCTGAACAAAAAATGGAAGAATGTCCTCGTGTGAGGATAAAAAAGAAAAGTAAATATTTTTGTTTGAGGTCCAAGTACTGTCTAGACTTCCGCAGGCAGATTTTAGAGGCAGCTGGAGAAAGCTATTTCCTGGTGAGCCTTAAATTCCAAGACGTTTCCTATCATTACCACCTTGAATGGCTGTAAAATAAATGACATACTTTGGATTTTAAAAGTCAACTTTTGCCTGGATAGCGTGGCTCAGTGGTTGATGTCGACCCATGCATCAAGAGGTCACCGGTTCGATTCTTGGTCAAGGCACATGCCCAGGTTGTGGGCCAGGCCCCCAGTGGGGGGCGTGCAGGAGGCAGCCAATCAGTGTTCTCTCTCATCAGTGT